GTGAGCACACCCGTTTTTATGCCAGAGAAACCTGGCTTCACTCAGATCATGTCCCTGAGCTCATAACCAGGTAAACTCAATAAGTTAGGCAATCTTCCCTTACACTTGTAAGTTGTGGAGCAGTCATCTGCCCCAGAGTGGTGGTAAGCAGCTGGATATAGGACTTTCTTTGCTTGGCACTGTTTGCTCATTGTCTGAGGAGTCTTGGCTGTCAGAGTGATGAAATGCAGCTGAACCCTTCTCTAGGACTAGGCACATCTGGCAGAAGAGTCTCAACAGGAAAAGAACAGCTGCCTTATGCCTTTCCAACAGAAAGTTCTTAAGGAGATATCAATGTTCTTTTTTCTTTGTGCTCAATTTTAGTCATTATTTTGCCCCTTTGAATGAAAAAAATAACAGTGGGGGTTTATTAACTTCATTATTTAAGGTCACCTAGCAGTGCTCATTGGTATTTGAGGCTATCTATCTTGCAGCATGATGTTGTGAGAAGGGAAGTCCTTATGCAGATTTTTGTGCATTAGGCAGGAGACTTTCCCTGGAGTAATCCCTATGACTTAATGGGAGGTGGCTTTTGCTGTAGTAGCTGAACCCTGGCCAATACCAAGGACAGAATAACAGGTTAGAGGGGCTTTTAGGAATGATCAGATCTGTCTCTAAATTAGCTGTTGCAACCAGGGTTTGGATGCATCGAGGACTGCTTCTGTGCTCAAAGCTCATAGGCCGCCTTCTAATGCCTCTGTCCTAACAAGTCCTTCCATTCCCTCTGTGTGTGTCATCTGCAGATAAATACATAGACATCTTTTAATCCTGAAGGTGATGAAGGTAATAGAATACACTCAAGAGCCTGATTCTCCTAGTCAGATTTCTTCTTCTCCTTCAAGACATGGGAAGCAGATAGTTGAGTTCAGGCCTTCAGAGGTACTTGGGATCTAAACCAGACTTGTAATGAGGAAACCACACTCCTGAATGGGATGTGTTAGTCAAGTGGGTTGAACATGGGCAGCAGTCTCTATAGATGCCTTCCAGTCACTTAGGCACATGCTACAAAATGCCAGTTATCAGTAATCTGGAAACTGAGTTGGACCTGAAAAGTACTGTTCTATTTGCAGCCTTCCATGCATGACAGGATTGGAACATTTTTAGTTTATTCTGCTCAGCAACCTCTGCAAAGAAAGTAGGAGCTATCCCTCCTTAATCTGAACCCATTTGCCTATCTCTTTCTTCCAGTGCACTCAGTGTTGACACAAAAGAGTTATAACTGTCTGCTATAGCAATGGTATGAACAAACCAGTTCCTTGTGTGTCTGCCAAGCAGACCTGCCATATCAGGAAGCACAGGCACATTCTGTTTTCAGATCATGTATCACCCAGCACCTTCAGTCACTGCTGTTTGCTTTCCTCACAGGACGATCATCTACCTCTCCATTGTGTATGTGATTGGCCATCTGATAAAGTCAGTCGGTGCAATTCCATCCCTAGGAAACCAGGTGGTTCATGTGTAAGTAGCTGTTGAAGCCACAGCACTGTAGTAGGTTGCAATGGTAGTTGGTTTACCCAGGACTGTAATTCGTTTTGCCTCCATCAGGCCAAAAGTTTGGGGGCTGTGCATGAGTTGCTTTTATCGGGGAAGGGTTTGGGACATCTGAGTAAGAACAGAAGGGCAGATCTAGCGTGTGAATGCACCGGAAGGAGTTGGAAACCACCACAGAGGCTCTAAGCCCTTTGAGACAGGGACCTCTGATCACCTTTCCCTGCTATACCATGCTACTGGAGTTTGGTCTCCTCTATCCAGCTGCCTGCACCAGGCTCATTCCTCCCTCACTTCCTCACCAGCATAGCTGCCCAGCTCAGCAAGATTCCCCTGTATGCATGGGAACAGAAAACCAAAGACATTTTTTCTGATGTGACAGAGGAAGGGTCTGACTCTTCCATAGGGTACAACCCTTCTTTCCCTCTAGATTCTGAACTGATAGGTTTGTCAGAGTAGTTCCCCAGCTGGTGTCTCTGTAACTACCAAGCTGGTTATGCCTGGGTGGTCACAGCTCTAAAAATACACACATGCAGGCAGGAGCACATCTCATTTACAGAACAGTTTCCTTTTATCCCAGACCTGTCCAGTCCTGACATTCCTGTTCCCTACAGATGTAATCTGCTGGGCCAACAATGGTATTTTGAGGAGCACTGGGAAATAGAAGGCACCCAAGAACAAGCCTAATTTGAACAGTTTGTCTGTGCTTACCCACACTGGAAGGCTACAGGAAAAGGCTTCTTTTTCCTTTGTGTTTCTGGTTTTGTTTTTTTTTTTTTTTTCCCCTCAATTGATCTCTGCAATCTTTTGTTCTCATATGAGTGAAAAATAATCCCATGGATCTTTGATCTCTAGTATGTCCAGTGGGCCTCAGAACAGCAAGAAACTGACAAAACCGCTTTGGTTAATTGACTGGTACTGAATGTAGAAATGAGGATAATTAATTTGTTTTTCGCACTTAGCTGGCTCATCATCACTACCCATGTGCAAAAGACAATGATACCAGAGGAATCATGGCTGGGTGACACTAAAATGCTCTCATAAGCACTGGAAAGGTTCTGCAATGGTGTTATTTTTGTTCTTGCATGAAGGGTCCTGTCTATGGTTGGTCTGTTTTTGATCGCCCTTGGAACGGGAGGTATCAAGCCCTGTGTCTCTGCATTTGGTGGGGACCAGTTTGAAGAGGAACATGTAAGATTTCTTTTCTTTCCTAAAATCTGCAGTGTCTTCTTACTTTATGAGGATGTTTATGTGATCAGATCCTGTTGTACTAGAATAAGGGCCAGTTTGCTAGGAAAAGATGTAGTAAGATGTGAGGTAGGATGGTTTACATAAGACTTGAGAGAATCTGGATGCTTCAGGAAAGGAAAATGACAGCAGAACAGGACTGATATTGGGAAGGATAGGTCATAATTGCATCAACTAATCTAAATGTTAATTGGACATCAGAGTAGTTGAAAAATCCTGTACCATGGAACTGTAGCCATTTCTGAACCAGCATAACAGGGGTGATTATAATGCACTGCAATGGAATACAGCAAATGAAAGAGAAAATTGTATCACCAGCCTATGCTTCTTTGGGAGTCTTCCCTCAAATCAGTCATAGTCTGTCTTAGATGTTGTTCAGAAAGAACTGTAGGAAATTTCAGTCTTTTGAAAGTAGTGCTGGTACCAAATCTACCCAGAAGGTTTTCTAGATATTCCAGAATGGAAAGTTCTGAAGAGTTGGGAAAATATTTCTTTTTAGCTCTGTTTGTGCTCTGCGTCCTATGAATTGTAGTCCAGTTGCTTTGTGTCCTTATTCTCTATCATGAGTGCTGACACCTTCACCTGCGCTAATCTCAAACTCCCATTATGCAGCACAGTGGCTCAACCAGGGATAAGGTAGTGCTTAAAGAAGCGAAGCAGGTCGGGAAGTACTAATCCTCAGGCAAAGTGCTACATTTTCAAACTGACCTGAAATTAAACACTCAGATTTATGTTGATCTAACACACAAATAAAAATTTCAGTTTTCTCACTGACAGTATTCAACTCGGCAACTTCTGTGCATGGTGTAAGTCCTCAAACATGTAGAAGGCCACTGCTACAAGAAAGTAAGTGTTGGGGTCTGTGGTGAGTAGGCTTAAATTCAAGGAGGATTATTCAGGACTGACAGTAGGAAAAATTTTCCAGAAATAGATCTAGAGAAGTACTGGAAAAGATTAGGACCCCTGGGAGACAGAAACTCCCATCCATGGGGGCACTGAAGAAGGACATTAGGCTAATGATCTGTCAGGAAAAGCACTGGTAGAGTTGGACAAGGGATGGCCCCTTGGCCTTGGACAAGGGTTGTGAGCCCCGTAGGGCAGTTTGCTGTTTGTCTTGTTTGCAATGCTCCAGCAGGTAGCCAGCATTTAATGAATTAATAATATAGACTAGAATGTTTATTTTAAAATTTTGGGAAGACTTGTGCTTTCTGCACATGAACTGTGTGATGACGAAGTGATGAAGCTTATGATTACTAAGGAATAAAAAAAACACAGGATGTTTCATGGTTACTTGTTCAACACAGATCCTTCTGCAGGCACATCCATCCTGTGCTGTCAGCTGGACCTGGTGCTTTAGAGGATGCTGTAGAAGAGGGAGCAGGGATCATCTGGTGGTCACCAGCCTCCCCAATTGGCACAACTCTGACCAAAAGCAGGCTGGCAGTATAGCACACATGCTCTGGGAATACGCTGCGTGCGTATTAGCATGTGGGCATTGCAGCTTGCAGTGCCAATAGTTGTCCCAAAAGGATTCTAATAGGTGTTACAGCAGCATTTTCAGAAGTGCTACTTCTATGAATATTAATGATTAATAATGTTTATCCAGCATCTTTCAATTACCACCTAATTACAGTATGATAATATGTACCACTTATCTTCAGAGTGTTTTATAGTCTTCAGCTAATGAATCTTAGCACCCCAGTCAGGCACATACATATTATTATCCCGAACTTACAACCACAACCGAGTTACAGAGGAAAACCTGAATTGCCTGTGGCTGTGTAGGTCTGTACCCATTCTCCAGCATTCAGACTACACCTCTCCAAAACATTTATCAAATACTAAAGCTGAAACATTCACCTATGTGTTGCCTTCAAGAAAAACTAATTTAGAGGAAAAAAACCTGTAAAAAGCCTTCTGATAAGGACAATGCATTTTGCTCTATTCATTCTTTTCAGAACAGAACGTTTTGTATTTTACCATTTTGAAATGACTTGGCCTTTCAGAAGAAAAAAATGTTTTATGCTATGTGATAGGAAATATAAAATTGGAATGAGAAGTTTTGATTTTGTAAGGAATGAAAGGTATGGGGCCAACCAGAATATTTCTCCCCTCCTGAGTAATGTTTGAGAGGACTCACGTTTTTTGTCTTCCACTCCAGGTAGAATGAAATAAGTTTTGAAAATTTCCAATGAAATGAAGCATTTGATTCCCCTTTAGTTTTCAGGACACCAACAAACTTCAGATGAGCCCTGAGGTGCACAGGCTTAATTGTTCCATCTGGAAACTAGGGATTTGGTAGTTCTGTATATAAAATGAATAAATAAATTGACCCGGCTATTCCTACTTAACACAGATTTATGTTTTGAGGTAAATGCACACCATCAGTCTGTTTCTTTTAAGTGCTTTACGAGTGTAGTAGTCTTGAGTCTGCCACTTCCAGAACAGTACTACAAACAGCTAGGGAAAGTAGATTTATCTGCAGGAGATTTCCAAGCATCCTTGTCTATGGATTAGGAGTCCACGCTAAAAATGCCTGAACAAAATGATATTTACAATAAGTTATATGAATGCAAAGGCTGCTGTGCATATTAATTAAGGACCAAAGCTGCTTTCAAACAGTGTGATATGGTGTTTAAGGTACTAAATAGCTTTCCTGTTGTTTCTTTATTTTCCGGTTGCCAAGGAGATCAGGATTATTGTGTACGGTACCTTTTCTCAAATTAGCTAATCCAAATCATGTTGTTAATGTATGTCTGCTCCAAGGATTAAGAAAATAGGGAGGGAATTCCTTTTTTCTGATCAGTGTAATTTGCAAGCTGCTGGGTCATTATTTTTGTACTCACTTCTGCTTTTCTGACTTTTTTCCATCACTGAAATCTGAAAATGTGTGAAATAAGATACCCCAAATTCTTTATGCATCACTATCCTCTTCTCTTACCATCACATTCTTTTTGGTAATTGTTGCTCACGTCAAGAGCTGCATGCTTGAGTTTTTCTCATCTCTCAGAAATTCTGAGTTGCTCAGATATGAAAGGTTAGAGATATGGCATGAGAATCTGACTAGAAAAGGGCAGGACTGTGAAGACTCTACTGCACCACCCATGTCAAGCCATGGCAGGGCTACTCTGGGAGTGGGAGAAGTTGCTGAGGCTGCTCATTTCTCTAGATTTCCTTATGATGACAAATAACTAGTCACAAAGGTAGAATGAAGAAGACTAGCTTAGCAGCAGGAAGTTCCAGGTAATCAAAACCACTGGTAAGGACAGAAATGGAGTATAAGAGATAGTAAGACCCAGTGCCGTTTGCTATTAACTATGGGAACGTGCCATAAAGATGATTATTATAAGGCTTACAAATCTTTTAATCCAGGATAAATAATTTGAGTAACGTATGGATTCGATTGCCTGGGACACGCTAGGAAATAAAATTGTGGAATACAGAAAAGCTCAAGTTGATAGGGTCTTCGTAACTGTGCTGGGGCAAGGCAAAAAGCCCTCAATCCAAGTGAGGGCACCCCCAGGCTCCTTGGTGAGTGGCAGTGGGAGGCAATGGGGCTCTATCCCTCACCATCCTAGTACCTGCTTCCCAAGGAGACATACAGAAAAGCCCTCCGGTGCCCTCCCACCTTCCCTGCAGTAATTCCCTGTGATAAGAGGCTTCTTGCCATATGAAGCAGCAATATTTCCTGTTGGCTGCACCATCAGTTACAGGAAGTTTTGTTTCATTTTTGATTCCTTAAGAGCTGTCCTCTTTTAGCTGCCTGCAATTCTTTACATTTTCTCCTGTTTTCTAGCCTTGTGAATATTGTTGTTTTGGGGAGCAGACAACAATAAGCAGGACATATTAGAAGGAGGGGGGTAGAACCAGGCCCCTGAAGAGCTTCCTCACACTCAGCTAAATTAAAGCTTCTCATTCAAATGATGCTCAGGTCAGAGAGATGTGGCTCAAGATACCCTAAGGAGTGCTCTGCCAGGCATCAATCCATGTCCCAAGCAATTTGCCCCTTACCTTTACAGGATCTGGTGACAGCTGGGAGCAAAGCCTAAATACATATGGAGTATGTTGGCTGCCTGGCCTTGGGCTGTCCTTAAATTCTGGTTTCATCAACTCAAGTGTCCTATAGCTGGAGATAGAGATGAGCATGATCAGGTAGCCTGCTCTTCTTTCTCCACTCTGCTGGCCCACCCAGGAACAGGAAGGAGGTTTAGCACCGTGTATGTGCAGGCAATTGTGCATATATGTGTCCCCCACAAGCAAGGAGAGACTGTTCTCCATTGAATGCCCTCACACATTACTGCTACAAAAAGGGCCAAACTCTGCATCAAGTTCTTGATTCCTTCCAAATTATGAATTATGCAGAAAAAAAGAAAATCATCAGGAGTCCTTTGACTGTATGATTTATAATATGTTACAACATCAGTTAAATTCTGAACTCTTTCTGTTAGAGTTCATCCCTCCATCAGTCTCTTGAATTTGCTCCTGTAGATTTAATTTACCCTATTTGTTTGAGGTTGACTGGCCTCAGCTTGGTAATCTCCTGTCTGATGGATACCTCTCATTTGCTGGCATTCTCTCATCTGTGCTCTCGCTACCAGCTCCTCAAAATACACAGGTTTCTTTTTCTATTTCTACACAGGAAGGGGGCGGGGGGGGGGCGGGGCATGGGCGCGGAAGAGCTCAGACATGGGAAGAAATGATGAGCTTGTCAAACCGTGCCAAATTGGATTCAATTAGGTGACAGAGGATCTGAATCATGCTACTTGTTCTGAATAGGTAAATGCTTTCCCCTTCTTCCAGTCTCACAACAATCCTACAAAGCAGTAGCTTTTCCTCTGAAATGCCAAAAAAGCCTCAAAGCACTTCTTAAGTAACGTGAACTGATTTGTGTGAGCGTTTACCATCACCTGAATGCAAGCTTGTTTGCTTAACATTTTATGCACTGCATGTCAATATTTACCCAGCCTTCCTAACAAGAGAATTGATAGCGTTCAATTTGCAAGCCCAATGCTGTGCGTTAGCTGTGACATTGATATTGTCTTCTCTTGTTTTAGACCTCGGAGAGAAGCAAGTTTTTTTCCATCTTCTATTTATCCATTAACGCTGGAAGTTTGATCTCCACGTTTGTAACTCCTGTATTAAGAGGTCAGTGTTGATTTAGAATAAGACAATAAATTAGCTGCCCTCTGACTACTCTGCTGTGCGTAGTTAGGCTTTTATGACAACTGAATGGCAGAAATTATATTATCTGTGGAGTGGCCGGTGTATTGCATTTACGCCTTGTTAATCCTTCTGTAGCAGCACAACAGATTTATAGTACTAGCAGACAAGTCACAGAAACTATATTTCTTGTTATATTTCAAAGTCTGCCTAAACTGTAGAATTAAAATATGAAAGGTGGAAGGACCTATATGGTCATCTAATCCTCCCCATTGCCAGTGAAGGATTATTCCCCTGTCTTGCCTGCAGATAACCTATGGATGGGAACTGATCTCTGCTGTCCTATGCAGGTGTCAGGGCCAAAAAACTTAGCAGGGCTGGTTTTGAAGTCCTGCCTTGTCCCTCCCACAGGGTGCTACTGACTTCTGGAGGGATCTGTCCTGGCACCCAGGCATGTCTGTGTGGCTCTGCTTGCAGGATTGCAGTCCTAAGCAACTAGCCTTGAAGACAAAGAACAGGCCTATGCCCCATTTAAGACTTACTTTATATTCTAGCCAGCTTGCACAACCCCTTTTAGTCCCCAAGACTTGCTGGACTTACTTCATTGTGTTGCAGTGCCTAGAAGCCGAGGGGATTGGCACGCTCTAAGTACAGACACAGAGGCAGAGCAGCAGGCCATAGGCAATGCGGATAGGGACAGGGACAAGGTAGCCCTCACATTTAGTGGCAATCTTTTTCATTCCATCCCATGGCCTCCAGGAAACTTTCTTTCTTCAGAGTGGTTATTTTAACAGGCCGTTCTTTTCACAAGGCTGCAGGCAATTGTGCTTGTCTCTTATTTACACTATGCATACGGATAAAGACAAATGGTGTATCTTGGGCTCTTTCTTCCACTGGTGTCCCCAGGTCAGCATTCTGTTGGGGTAGGGGGTTTGCTCTATGTAGTCAGTGGACAGATTCAAATCCTGTCCCCTTTGAACATCAAAACCTGTGCCAATATAGCCTAGTGATAAACTAGTTGCAATGTAGAAATGAGGTGGAGAGGATGGGGAAAGAGGAAAATTTTTTTCTAAGTGTGAAAGCTTTTCTTGGAAGAGCAAGAAATTAAATTCACAGGCATTTGGCAGAAATATGGAATATATAGTTTTAGGAGGAGAAGTCCACAATACTTTGCATGTCACAAGTTCAGTGTGCTTATGATGTCTTGCTGCCAGCTTTGTTGGATTTCAGCTAATTTGCTGAAAATAAGTAAATAAATGCTGTGCATGCACACAGCTATGCAGCTGACCGTGACTGCCCAGGGAAAACAAACAAGAATAACTGAAGGCTTCATAGGTTGCTTTCCTGTTAACTATGTTGGATTATTTTAGCCATTTTGTTATTACCCCACCTAAGAATGCAGAAAGTTGTGGCCACTGGCACACAAACACAGACCCCACTACTGGCTTGCTGTTTGTAACTGGACTTCTGAATTCACACGGTGAGACTGACCTGGTCCAAGAGGCGCAGGGTTTTGGTGAGCCATAGCTCAGATCGATCAAAGCCATGCTGTAACAAACCTGGCTTCCTGATGGGTTATTGTGAGACCTGAAATTTGGAGCAGGCTGCCTCTAGTGAGATTGGGAAGGTGGAAAGAAAGGGAGCTGGAGTTTTAAGACCAATCCTGTGCTCCCATGTATATAGTAGGATTATTGGCTTCCACTTTGTCCACTGTAGGTTGCTATGAAGTCAGATTCAGGTTTTTAGCTCAATAACTCATGCAGCTGGCACAAATAACATGTAAAAACAGTACTGGTTACTTAGATGTAGGCAAATGCAGAATGGCCTCAGGTTTTTTTAAATATTTTTTTCCCAATTACAGTTCCTACTAGTTCTTTCTACTTATTTGTCTGCACCCTCCCTTAGACTGTTCTCATCAATATCCCATTATCAGCTGCTTTTGCTGGCAGACACTAACCCTGCTTCCAAATTGTCTTCATCAAGGGAAGACAACTCTTTCAAGGAGATTCAATTCACAGAGTCAAGCACCAGCAAAGAAGATTTAAAGCCAGGGGAAGCGACTGATTTAGGGAAAGCAAATCAAAGGCCCCAGTAACATAAGTCTGACTGTAATGAGGTGCTTTTATTTCTGACTTCTTTTTCAGGGGATGTGAAATGTTTTGGAGAGGATTGTTATGCGCTGGCTTTTGGTGTCCCAGCAGCACTGATGGTGTTGGCGCTTGGTGAGTGGAAACAATAATGCTTGTAATAGAAGTTACCATTTTTGAGTCCATGGACAGATGAGAATTGAGAAAATGCACAAATTCACTAGCTCTGGATGGATACCGCGATGGGCAACTCAAGGGTTCAAGTTCATCCAACAATTCCACAGTTCAGAACAGCAAGAAAAATCACTAGTTCACTTAGTGGTGGGCAGACCATGGTTTTGCTGCAATCCTTTATCATGATACTGATGAGAGGGTGGTCTGGTGGATGTTTCACAATACAATTGCCTTGCTCTATAAAGCAAAGGGAGGCACCAAAATGATTCTTCAGATGGCTTGCAGCTTTGCCTATGAGCAGGCTTGACCTTTAAACTGCAATCTGAGCAATCCTCAGAGTTCCCCAGCTTATAGAAGAGAAGCTTGGCATGCCACCTCTAACCTTGCACAGGCTCTTTGCAGCTTGCGGCCATCGTTCATGGCTCAGACTTTTGCTTCAGAACCTATGTGCCGCAGAAATAGCAGAAGGAGCTGAACGAGATGTTACTTTATTCTGTGCTGTCTCACCTTGCTTGGCTGAAGTAATTCCCACAATTACAGTGACAACTTATTATTATGTTGCAATAAAAAGCCCTTATTGTCCAAGTGTCAGGAGGCAGCTGCAATCGCCCTGCTTCCTAAAGCTTGCGTCTTAGTCCCATTAATGTTCTTGTCAAGATTTCTCCTACAACTCTTATAAAATACTCAGTAATTTCCACATTCGTACTGTTACTCCTTGGTAGCCAAAACAGAGGACACCCCATTAGCTTTAGTTTCACAGTTGCAAGCTGCTGAGGGGAGCAGTCCCCTTATTATGCTGCATTTGAGAGGTTTTGACACAGCATGGGGTGACTTCTCATTCAGTTTGTTAGCTTAATTGAGAGACCAAGCAATTATGTGATTTCACACAGCATCTATGATTTGAAACATTTGTCCCCCAGAGAATGTGAATGTTGCTCTCTCCCCTCAAACTTCTATCAGAGAGGAGAATCTGGAGAAATGTCATCAGGCCACAGCTAATGTTACAGCAATTATTTTCAGCAAAGTGCGTGGTCATGGGCCTGAGAAGCTTCTTTTTTCCCCTGTGGCTTGTTCCTATCAGGTTAAGGCAGCACAGGCTCCTCTGTGCACCACTGTGTGATGAATGTTTCTAGCAGAGTAGTAGTTGCCCAGGGGAAAATGGACGTGTAAATATTGCAGTTTCAGTGAGGGCATCAATCGAAATGTGTTTTTAGCTAGTGTCCTGCTGCCAGATTCCACGGCCTGCCCGGCAAAGCAGCTCTGTGTTCTTTTGTGACATGCTAAAATGCTCTTGGAAGTGATATATTTGACTATGTGAGCAGCATGCAGAACTGGAGAAAATACCCTTTCAGCCCTGACTGGCCCTCTCCCTGTGATGATGGAAAGCAAGGACAGATTTAGAGGCAGAATGGAAATCTTGGAGCAAGATTTTCTGGGCTGCTTTAGCTTCTGAAAGGTGGGGGAAGATTGATACTATTTAATTCCAAATGCCAAACCTAATGCAGGAACCTCAGTTCCCAAAGGAGTCAATGGCATCACCAGAAGGTATTTCAGCAAACCTAATGAATCACCTTTTAGAGGCACCAACAGGTCCACAGGGAGATACTAAAAATTAGGCAGTGCAACCACCCGCTCTGGGTGACTTTGGACATGTGTCTTTCAGTGCGATTCACCTAAACTGACCTCAGAGGTCTCTCTGACATTTCTGCAAGTCAGAACTGGATGCAAAGGGTCTTCCTAAGTCAGAAAAGAGAAATGGTGAGTTCCTTGCAGTGTCCCAGGCCTCCTGTGTTAGGATAGAGGTGCCTGCTTTTCTCCTCTGGCTGTGGACTGACCCAGACAATTGGGTTAGTTTAAAAGGTTGAGGTTGGTTTGTTACAGGGATCTCACGCTCAGCTTTCATTGTGCTTCTCCCTGCTAACATCTTTGGAATTGCAATGTGCTCGGAGGCTCTCAAAGAGCAGGACAAACGGTATGTAATCAGATAGCCCCATCTCTGACAGGATTTTGAAGCCTTGGTCCAATATTCTTTGTGCTTTGAGGGAGAAAACCAAGACAAAACAATATCTTAAATTGTATATCCCTTTGTGGAAACCATAAGTGGGGGTAATTTCTGTTAACACCAGTGTGTGTTGCAGTGACCTTCATGGCAGTTTCCACTGAGATGTGTGTGAGATGCAAGTACACAGAGCCTGCGTTGGATCTGGATTGATTCTCACACGGTTGCAGTGAGTTAGGGCTGATTTCCAACATCAGGTGCAGCAATTCAATGTGGACTGTATTTTAAGTTTAGCCTACAAAAAGCATGGATGGATGGAATTTTCAAAGCTTTGACTCCCAGCATGAATCAGATGTGGAGGTGCCTGTAGTGCCAGAGCAGATAATGAGAAGATGATGGTGACTTCCTAGGGATCACACTGCCTCTTGTAGGATGTTGCATTTTCTTCCATTTGAAGGCATTAAAGGAGTCCTGCGTATTTATTTTGTTAAAAGTGCAATCCTGGCAGCCCCAAGGGCAGAGGATTTCTCTTGAATGCAGGGGTGGGGGATCCTTCCCAGAAGCCAGTGCAGGATTGAGCCTCAGTCATGTGAATTCCCACTTGGATTATAATATTTTTCAGTTGTGTTCATTGCTGGAAGTGGACTGTACAGAAAAACACCACCGCAAGGGAACGTCTTACTGGAAGTGTGCAAATGCATTGGCGTAAGTGTGTGCCGTTGTCTCTTTTTCATGCGTGACTGAGGTTGCAGGTCAGAAAAGTGCAAAGGGAAAAAGGGAAGGTGACATTTGGAATTCTTCTGTATGCTGCTCCTGGATATCTTGCTGATGAGCTGTAAGGAATAAGAAACACATTTAGGTCCTAGTTTATTCTTTCAACATTTCAATTGTTTTTCCTTAGTTCCATGAACTGTTCAGCTGATGTTAGTAGAACCACTAATGGCAGATGCAGGTGGAGACTGAACTGAAAGGAAAATTCAGAAACTCAGAGTATCAGATATATGACTAAATTTTTTTCAGCTAAATAATTTTACTGAAGTTTATCAGTTCAGCAGACAGTAATACTATACATTCATATTATGCACATTCAGCATGTTCATGTAAATGCAAGAGACACCTGCTGAAGCTGCATTATAGCCTTATCAATTATTTTTCATAGTATGTGAGCTGAATATAGTTTGTGAAAAAATACTCTTGTTATTAGATAGATAATGATGGTTCTTTTTCAGGAAGCTGTTGCTAGCAGCAGATGTTTTCTTTTTACCTAGGTCAATCCTAGTGACAGATTCACCTTGGGGAAACAGGCCAGATCATAAAGATAGGATTTCTAAGTGAGGTCTGCCACTCTTTTTGTGAGGATGGCTATGTCCAGCGTGCTCAGTGACTGGAACACGCAACATAAGCTACAAATTTGGTGTCGCTGAGTTCTCCTCCAGTGAGAAACCGACTTGAAAGCTGGGCTAGGAGTGAATGAGGCATGGACTGCACCAGGAATATGCAAAGAGAGGCCTACAGAACAAGAAGGGAATGAGAGTTCTGGTTTTGACATTGATTTGGATAATGAGGCATTTCCTTCCCAGCACAAAGCCTTATAGAAGCCCTTTTTTAAAAATTTTCTTATATTTCAACAAGTATGTTTCAACCCATCAGGTGCTTTTTAGAAGAGAACTGAAGAAATTATCGTTAAAGCTTTGCAAGGTAGCAGGTTTTAAATCAAGCTTGAAACAGTCTCTGGGGGTTAGTGTCAGATTTGTCTCTGAAAGAGAAGCCCATGATGTAGTTCATTCCCACATCATACATTTGATCAGTTAATGTCACAGAAACTTCTCTGAAGAGGATTGGTCATAAAGCACTCAATCCAAGATTTTGGAAGTGTCCAACAAAACCATCGCAGTTTTCTGGTGCTGCTTACATTTTGGGATGGGGAGGGTAGCCTTGAGTTGGGAACGTGACAAGCACAGGTACACCGTGAGGGAGTTACTCACGTGTTTTTTCTTCCTAGTTTGCTATTAAAAACCGTCTGAAAAACCGCTCCCATCAGATTCCGAAGAGAGATCACTGGCTGGACTGGGCGTCAGAAAAATACCCGGTAGGCGATGCTCTACCTGGCAGGTTTGGAGGGGGAAGGGGGGAGGCGGGCAGACAGGGGAGACAGACTGGTCTGGCCACAGCACTCCTCACATGGACTCTCATTTGTCCTGTCCAGTTCCACATCTGTACTCTCCTGACCCTTAATGGACAGTTTAGGTGCTGCACTGAAATGCAGGAATGAATATATGTCCAAGATCACGAATAAGTGCCGTGAATAAATGCCATGCAGAAAGAAATAGGAACTCTCATGTTTTGTGGCTTTTGAATCACTTGTTGGCTTTTCAGCCCCATCTTACCTTTTTGCCTGTTCCCTTTATAGAAACAGCTGATTGGGGAGATTAAAATGGTGACACGTGTTCTCTTCCTCTTCATACCGCTGCCAATGTTCTGGGCCCTGTTTGATCAGCAGGTACAGTACAGTGCACAGCAGGTCTGCCTGCTGGCCTGGGTTTGCACCCTTGTCCTTCCAGGGTAACACCAAAGCATCCTGGGAACACAGAGCACCATGCTCCTATCAGGTGTCCAGGGGCTTCCTAAGGCAGTACCCACCATCACTGCTGGCCATCCCTTTGCAGTCCTGCTGGGTGTCTGGCACAGGAGAGTGAGAAGGAAGAATGTGCCCTGCCTGCTGGCAGGTGTTATAGGGAAGGAATGGATAGGAAATAAGACCTCCAGCACTGTTGTCTTCTCTGTCCGTATGTTTTCCAGTCCCCTAGGACATCTTGAAGGCTTCACAACTGTCTGTTTTCTCCTTAGGGATCCAGGTGGACTTTGCAAGCCACAAAAATGAATGCTGATTTTGTAAGTACCTAATGTCACTGGGGCTGGTAAGACTAATAGTAACAACACTGCTCTTGCTTTTTAACCAGAGTCTTGCAGTACTAAGAGCATCTGCTTGACGAGTCTGGGTGAGTTGCACTTTTGGTGATTAGAAGCGAGAGGCTCTGCGCCGCCATGTTCAATTCATCACAGCACATTCTGGCAAAGAAAGAGGGCTGGGGAGCCATCATCAGCCTGCAAGGTCAGGAGTGCTGACCTACTGGCAACCGGTTGCTCTGAGCAGGTAGGGTTTTCCAGCCTGCTACCCCCACTGAAGACAGAGAAGTTAGGGAAGGTTCACACAGCCCTTGTAAGGCATAACTAGAGCTAGTGCAGTTGTATATTTCTGCTCTGGCTTATTTGGTGATGCATTAATGAAGCCTCTCAAAACTAGCAGGAATCTTGTGTATAGAGTACAGATGTGATGAGGATTAATCAATTAGTAGCCATAAAATTCTTTAAAGTTGTGAATGGCAAAAGGTGCAGGGTGCAGTGGCAGATGAATGTGGCTCACTTATCTGCCTAAAGATGCCACCATACAGGGCTGGTTTCCAGACATATATGTTTTAACAGGCCATCTAGATCTTACCTGTGGATGTGGTCACGTAAGATTTTAGGATTGTAAATGCACCTTTTCCAGTTTATAATTGACTTAGAGACACAAATTTGAGCCTTTCTATGTCACTCCTGTTAAAAATCGGGCTCTCAGCATGGGGTACTCATTAGGCTTAATTCAAATGAGGTACAAAAAACCCCTACACCTTGGGTAATATTTATCCACCTCAGAAAGACCAAACAATGAAAGTTCACACAGTCTTTAATGTGTATCTAAAAACTTCGTTTTCTGCTGTTTTGCTTGCATGCACTTGGTGATCCATTAGCAGAAGATCTAAGAATCACCAGGTGTCACTTATTAATCTCACCCTGGTGGAGAAGGACATATTAAGGTCTTTTTTTGTCACACCAGCTTGGATAGATTTTTGGCTTGTCTTTCAGTCTTATCTGCTCTCCACTGGTGAGTTGTCTCAACTCATGAAGGTGAGAATTAACTGCAACATTGAGGTGACCCCACCATTAGGCTGGTTGGAGTTCATGTTTTGTAATATTCCATGCTTTTTCTCCTCTGCGTATAAAGGGCTTAGTCTGGAGTTAAAAAGGGAATAATTTAGTGTGAGGTGAAATATTTGCAGGCTTGTTTCCTAATGGCATATTTGTATAGTGTGCACAGAGTAGCAGGAGAGGATGTTTGCCTGATATTTTTAATTGTAAGACTCCTTTGCTGTGACTCTCCACTCTCTCAGGAGGCAGCTGCTGTCAGAGACAGGCAGTCATTCTAGATTCAGCTCAGGACAAGCCTGGCAGACAGCAGACAAACCCCCACAGCACTTTCTTGGAAAGATACTTTTTTTCCTTCCTAAATTTCCCTCCTCTTCTCTTTGTCTTAATTTCAAATGAAAAGCATTGCATGGAGTTCAGACAAACACTGGCCCTTCCCTGGAGACAGCTCACCAGTCCCTTTTAGGGACTGGAACCCCTTTGTCCACCCCTTTTGACCTTGCCCGATTGTGGGGGCTAGGTATGGTGATGCAAGGGAGGACTCTTGGCTCAAACCAAGAAGTCACAGTTGACCAAAGCCCATTAGGTGCCCTCAGCAGATGGAGGGAGGAAAGAGGTGTTTGTGCAGCCTACTGGCTCAGGGACGGTCTTTTGTTATACTTTTGGGGTGCCTGGGGGAAACGCCAACAGAGCTTGAGAGCACTCACTTTTAGGTTTTGGGCTTTTCCCCTTACAGAAGCAGGAAGGGAGGAAGCTCTAAGCCCAAATCCCAGCTTGAGCACTACACTAACATACCTATTCTTCCTCCTAGTTCATGGCTCAGGCGGTCTGAAAGATGGGTCTCAGTACCTGTCATAGGCTGTGTCCCAGCTGCCATCTATCAAGGACTGAGTGTAGCTTCCTTCCGCAAAACTATTCTCATCAAACACTGTGTCCTTAGACAACAAGTGTCAAGAGCGTGAGCTCTGCTAAAGCCAACATAAAGCATTTGAGGAAATCATCTTTGCTGCTGAGGCCTCTACTGGACTGGTTTCTTATTTGCCATATGCACTGTTATATTAGGTGTTTATGAATCACTTGGAATATCTTTTTGTTTCAGGGAATATATGTCCTTCAGCCTGACCAAATGCAGGTAAAAGATACTACAGGGTAGGAAATAACCCTTTGAAATGTATTTTCTTCTTTTCTCTCATTTTTATTTTTCTCATGGGACCAGTGGCCTTTATCTGCTCCTATTGAAGGTAATAGCAGTGCTCCTGCTGGCTGCTGTGGTGTGGACTCTGCCTTATTGCTCACTAGCTGTTTTGCAAGCTTAGCCTTGGGTTTCAGAAGACCCCAAGGATGTCCTAACACACAGGTTGAATCCTGCAGAATAGTGCAGAAGTGTTGGGAGACATGTCACTGTAATAGTTCTTGAACTAGTGCTGGCATGTGGAGGATACAAGCTGTGTCTCCCTTTAGCACGCCCCTGTGCTGGGATGAGTGTTGTACCTGAAATATGTTTTCTTCCTCCCTTTCGCAGGGCAGATGAAAATGTGAAGGCTCCAAGACAGTGCCGTGTTGTCACAGTTGATTACAATTCTTATGCTGAACAGCTCTGGAGAAATTCAAAGCTGTTCTGTTCCCTGAAATCTTCCTTTGAAACTGAAACAGCATTTCTCTCTGCTTGTTCTCCGTCATTCTCTATTTTCTTGCTCTGCCACTGCTGGCTGGCAGACAAGCTCTGCCTCTCCCAGGAGAAATTTAGCTCCTGAGGGATTACCAAACTGTGTGGAAGTGTGAGAAACTGCCAATCTCATAGAATAGTGCCCCTTCCTCTGGGATTTTGCTGAAGTCCCAAGATGTTTCCATTATTGCTGATTTGTTGTAAGGTCCCACCACAGCACCGGGGTCACCTGCCTCTATTGTCAGAGGATTTTGTACTCTTTAAAAACATAATGCTTCAGTTCTCTCTTTGGGGGAACTGGGCCAGTGATGCTTGCTTACCTCTTGGAGGGGAGGATACGAACAAAATGTATTTGCGCCTGTGAAAACTAAATAGCAGAAGCTGTCAAAGTGCAAACTATGATTATATTTTAAAAGGAGGTTTTTAAGTGTTTGTTCATGTCCTTTCTGTAATGGAATTATTTCTGGAGGACAGTGCTTTATGAGTTTAATTACTGAAAGTTGCTTTCTAGTCACTAAACTCCCATTCTTTTGTATTGCAGTTCTTAAATCCACTTCTTATTCTTGTCTTCATCCCAATATTTGACCTTGGGCTCTACCCCCTGGTAAACATGTGCAAATTTAATTTCACGTAAGTACTTGGGGACAATGCAGATGCTTTGGTGCTTTTTCTTTTGCAGCAAGTGTGCAGAATACCTTTTTCACAAATTTCCGTTCACCCTTCCCAGTACTTGCCTCTACTTCAACCCCAAGGGCATCACCCTCTTCCACAGGCCCTGAAAATTCCGGAGGGGAAAATTCAGTGATGTTGGATTCTGCTCTGTACAGATTTTCCCTGAAAGCAGATATGAACAGTCCCTCTTTGAATTTGATCAACATGTTCTTCACCTTATCTCCTATATCTTTTTTTATTACAAGACACAAGCAGTAAGTATTTTCTTATCCCAGGGCATGTAACCAAGAGACAACATTTGGATTTCTAACCTGGATTTCCGACAGCCCAGTCAATCTGGAATGTGAATCCAGACTGTTACAAAGAATGGAAATCGCTGAATCTAGAACCAGATTTGTTTCAAATCTCAACCGCTCGGTACTTACTTTGGACCTGCCGATAGGTCTGCCCGACCTATTTTATTCTGCTTTATATCAGATTGTCTCATGTAACTCTGTTAGAGTTGCACTAGTTTTGCTCCAAGTTCATAAGCAAGCTCTTTATTCTCTAGGAATGTAAATGTATTGGCATGAGAAATAACCCAGAATGATGCCACAGATGGTCAGAAACGTTGATTTTTGCATGCTACTTTTCTTTTGCCTTTACCAAAAGGGACTTGAAGATACATCATTTCTAGTCCTCCTTCCAACATCACAGGTTAACATAATGCCATGAGCTATTCCCACTAGAAGAGCTAGGAACAAGATAATATGAAACTTGCAAGCAAAGAGCTTTTTTTCATGGCATATCAGTTTTAATTGGCCTCTGTGCTGGCCTCATACAGAATAATAGAATAGTTTTAAGTGAAATGATTGGCAATTTAAACAGCATGTCATCCCCAGTGCCACCTGTTGGACAGTTTATTACATGGTTTTGGCACATCTTTGGCTCTGAGGAATGGTATTCTGTATTTCAAATTACTTTTTTTTCTTAATGGTACCTCTTTCATTTGCTCCATAGACCTATTAGGAAAATGGCAACAGGTATGATCCTTGCAGGGTTGGCGTTTGGACTCGCAGCTGTTGTAGAAGTCAAAATAAATGTAAGTATAGCTCAAGGGATTCCTCAAAAATATTTTCTTTCCCTGGGGTGTTTTTATTGATGCCTGTTAGATAATCCTTTTAACCATTCTGTTCCTTGATCATAATTTTTAATGTGTTCTTTACAGTTAAGCGCACCAATCCAGTTGCTAATGATAATTCTTACTTTGTCTGCTTTTCTCTCTCTTTCTCTCTGTCTCTGTTTCTTTCTCTCTCTCTAGTCTTTGCAGTTTTGCTGTGCCGGTCATCTGTATTGGTCTATATTCTAGATTTCCATCGTCAAAATGCTTGACAGACATCTAGTTAATGCTAGTGATTAATTCCCAAAAGGTAGTCTGTTCTCTCTCCTATTTCTTGCTGTAGCTTGCTTTATTATACTCTCCGGGGGTTTTTTTGGTGTGTGTGTGGTGGTTTTGGTTTTTTTAGTTTAATTACTTTCCTACTTTAGTGTGGGGATGTGGTTTTTTACAAGCCAAATTTTCTCCAGTGAGGCAGGTAAATGCAGTCAGTTCTGTAGTCACAGGCATTAGGCACTGCCAGGCATCCCCAGACAGGATGGCAGCAAATCTCTTGCGAATTCGATGTTAGTCCCTGCAGATTTGTCCTATTTGTTTCTGGCCCATGACCAGCCTTGCGCACACTTTGGCTGACCTTTGTCTCATGGAAGTTACTATAGGATTAATTTTTAAAGCTTCCATGTATCCTTAAAATGTTCCGTTAGAGCGGCTGGCGCACAGCCCTGGATTAACATCTGCTGGTTCCTTGGGTGAGTCCACTGGCAAGTCTCCCAATGAAACGAGACTTTGTGGCTTCAGCTCTCTTCTTTCTGATCCCTTTACGTGAACAAAGAAATACTCTCATTGCTACCACCAGCAGCTCTGGCCAAGCACTGAAATTCTGCTCTGAAGTATTTCGTGGCAGCTACTTGACAATAAAGTGAGAAAAAAAGAAGTTTAAAAACAAAAAAATCCATTTTAGATCTGCAGGTAGTATGAGGCTGACACTGACTGATGTACTCTTTCTAGGAAATGATTCCTGACAGAAAGAGATGTCTGTGCTGGAGGCATCGTCTTCCTTTTCGCAGAAAACAGGGAATAAGATCTATACAGTCAGCTGTTAGATAGCATGGTGTCAAGTGATGCAAAAGCACTGATTACAGGCGTGGAGCTGGACTGGGATTTTCAAAACTACTTAGCTTCTAGCCTAATTCTTTTCCCAGTCCCTGATTGCAGTGGGAAATAATTATTCTGGTCACTGCTTTTGAAAGCTAAGTACAATTTTTTCCATTCTGATATGGCAGTTGGTTAAATCCAGACACTAGGGAGCCATATAATGAAAGCAGTGACATTGTTCTCCCTACCCAGCAGTTGCGTAGCCTGTGCGCTTAGTGGTGCGAAGAGCAGTTTTTGGGAGGAATGATAGGTTGGCTATTGAGCTACTATAAGGAAACCTCCCTAAATAAGATTTATGTTCAGTTTTCTCTCAGTGCAACTTCTGATGAGGAAGGGATGGAATAGTGTCATTACAGAGAGGAAGACTATTATGGCTAAAAATGAAGAGATATTAAAGTGCTAATAAAGCATACAGATGGCACTTAAAGCCTTTTACTTTAATTAGGAAACTGATATGCCTCGGCTTGTCCCAGAAGAAAGTTTAATTCGGGTCCTGAATTTGGCAAAGAACCCTGTTCAAGTGACAATCCAAGACCAGGACCTATTTCAGCAGCCTGTGGAGGCTTTTCAGGTAAGCATATATGTGAGGCTGGAAGGCCTGACTTGCATCCCATTAAAGCGAGGGTGGGCTTGTTTTCAGGCATTTTCTAATAAAGCCTGCAGATACTAGAGCTTGTTCTCCTCCGCTGCCTTAGAAGTGCATGGGAATAGCTCTAAAAATAGAGCATATTATCTCTGTTGACGAGACAGAAATGGAAAGTTTGGAGACATATTTCCATGGTAAAGGAGAAGGAAATGGCTAACTACATTCACCTGTAATCAGGAATAAAGGATAATTGTCCAAAGATGAGCATGTAAAGACATTCAACTCGTGTGTCTCTGTGCTCAGACCAGGCTTTGCTGCTGGGATCTGGATGTCATCTGAAAAGTATTTACCTTCAAAGGAGGAAAGAAATGGGAAGGCAGTTAACTAGGCATGGGCACTGGGTTGTTTCCTTATTTCAGCTTCCATGTTACTTTACCGGTCAGGCTAGTTTGGGACCCAGCCCAGCAGTATGTTGGCTACCAGCAGCCTGCCATGTTTTAGATGTGATCCCAGTGGGACTGAGCAGGGCCAGGGAAAAGGGTAGTTCTGTGGGCAGAAGGTGTTCCTTGACCTTTGGGTTGCATCCAGAAAGGGAAGGTACTCCAAGCTCTGGCTTGACCAGCCCAAAGTCAACATAGCTCCTTTGCTGCAGAAGACAGCTCTGACTGTTAACTTTTTCTTTACGGGCTCCCTTGAAGAGAGGATAGGGTTGCGCTTGGGGGCAAGAGTCGCATCCTTTCTCATCTGAATAAAGTGTAACCAAGTTTGTTTTTTCCACAGAGCCCAGCTGAGTACTCAAAATTAATATTGAATGGAGAGCAACAGAGCCTTCGCTTCACCCTGCAACATCAAGGATTGTCTCTTGCTTTTAACTACACCATGAAGGAAAAATCAGTATACAGCTTAATTGTTTTTGAGGCAGAAGAAAGCCTATCAAGCCACTTAGTGAGTGTGGGAGTGAAGTGTAAATACAGTATTAATTCAATGGCTGTGATGATACAATGGGGTAATAGGCTCATTAATTCACTTGCTCAGTTGCAATGTCTGTCTGATTGCTCTCAGATGCTCTAAACCTGACTTCTTAGCTAGCGGCACTGGATCAGTACACATTTCTGCTGGTTGATTAATAGAGGCGTTATGGCATCTGAGAGTTTCTGGGCATGCTTTAATCCAGTGAATGCTGCAGTGGGAGAGCAGAGTCATGCCCGCTAGGCAGCAGAGCTTGAGAAAGCTGAGGAAACAGAGCTGGAGATTTTCCCCAAAAGATGGTTCTATAAAGCAAAGATGTTAAAGAGGCTCTAGGGCAGGGCATGGAGTAAAAGCATCAGAGGAATGATTCCGGGCTTAGTTATTGCAAGTGTTTAGTGAAAATGCACAGAAGGGCCATTTGTTTTGCTGAACAGAATAAATGATTAAGCTCATTTCAGGCTCTGCAGCAGAGCCAGCTGCGTTTGGACTTTTGTGTATTGCTGCAACAATCAGAGAGAGGCATATGGGATGTATAGGGCTGGATTCTAGTATCTTTTACATGTAGCTGTATCCTAAGGAGCTCTCTTGAAATGAATGGTGTTATTGTATGTTGTGGCAGGTGTGTAAATGCCATCAGAATCTGTCCTCATGCTAAAATACCAATTATCTTTGCAGTTCCTGAGCCTCCTACCTTGCAGGGTTGCCACATGAAGGATTCAGTATTATATAGTAGAAATCACACAACTGTTTTCAAAAATGAGGAGTTTAAGAATTTATTTATTCCTAAAGTTGGGTTTTTTTGCTGCTTTATGATTTAGAGCCTGGAGCTCATTATCACACAGTGTTACTAAGTTTCCCTGTGACCCTGATGACTGTGTGCTGTTACCTTAAGGAATGGATACTCGTACAGTGATTTTTTTCATCCTCAAGAAGTGAAAGCCTGCAACAGGCTGAAGCAAAGCAATCTCTGAGCTTCAGTACATCTCTGTGCTGCACTAGCTATCTAGCTTGTGCTCACCCTGGCATGGGCAGGCTCTCATGCGCTGGGGAACAGCCGTGCTGTTGGGTGATGGTATTGACCTGTCATTCTCAGCTGTAAATAAAGGAGGTGTGGAAGACTGTGGTAAATGATAGTCACTTTTCCAGCACTGCAACACCAGGAATGCATTGCCAGCATCACTGCTGTGTTTCAGGGCTTGCCCTGGAGTAGCTATGGCTCATGCCAGCCTCCCTCACACCTGGGTTTGGCCCTTTTGCTCAGGTGGGGGTGCTTTCCAGGAAGGATCCAATCTGAAATTGGTTTCTTCTTGTGGGCTGTAGAGTAGGCAGGAAATGAATTCGAGAGCTCTGGGGATCATCGATGAAAGCAAGTAATAATTTGGCTGGCCTGCCTGTAACAAACTAGAGTGTTAATCCCCATTTGTCTCCCACAGGAAAAAAAAAAAAGCTGTTTATTATTTATTGTTCTGACATTTATTATTCATTGTGACTATTTATTATTTAGGGCATACATTATTTGTGGGTCAGCATACCATATTGAAGTACAGTAGACATTTTACAGGTATATTGAAATTCTGGATCCTTGGTCTCAGAAGCTCAGGGTTTAACATCAAGAAGAAAGTGTGGAGAAAGAGCTAGAAAATTTTAAGTGAAAGCCAGTTTCTGAAGGTAGATTCAGTCTCTTTTGGTTTGCCTGGATTCCATATGTGGACGGTGCAAATTGAAATTGCCCTGCCAGCTTAAGTGGACATGGCACAATTGTGGATTTCTACCAGCCAAGAACCTTGCTGTGTATTCTTTTTTTTTGTGACATGCAATCTTTAGGGCAGGGTTGTATCTTTACTGTCTTTTTTTAGCATTGTACACCAAATAGGGTCTCCTCAGTTGAGTGTAGATCACGTTAACTATTGAGCTGATGCTCTAGCTGTGATCTCAGGAGAGGCACTCTCATTTCCCGATGTGTCCAAGCGGGTGGCCGTTTCAGGGATGTGTCTGCAGAGACTGTGAGCACAAACAAGCTCAGTGCATCTTTGTCTTTCCTGCTCACCACCTGCACCATACAACATTTTATGAAGTTAGGGAAATATGAGTTACACATGATGATCAGAATAGTTACCTAGTGGTTCCTCTTGGCTGTAGGCTACTGTGAAGTCTATGAGTATGCCAAGAATCAGGGTCTGAATGTTAGGCAGTTGCAGGTTTTCCAAGTAAGGTAAACATGAGTGAGGCACTCATGTTTAACTGTAACTAATCATTGAAAGAGGCTAATGTGGATAATCCTCTCTTGCTATCTTCAGATCGAGGTAAATACTTTTTTGGTGGGTGTTACATGCCTCAGTAGAAGGGTGACTGAAACTGTAGCCTTTGTTACGCAAGAGATGAGGAAAAAACAGGTATGAACTCATCTTAAGCCCTTGGTGGAGCTGAAATTTTGCCACTGACTTCGTTGTACCAGGACTTCACTTCTGTGGCCTGATGTGAAGCTTATGTCCGAGTTCAGTTGATTTCCATGGGTTTTCCGTGGGCTACAACGCGTGTGTAACTCCACAAACACTAGTATTTTCTGCTACACATTGTCATAAGGCAGTGTTGATAACTATGTTTGGTTGGTTTTTTTTTTCTTCTTCCCCTTTTTAGATTACAGACTTGGAAGCAAAGCCAGAAAATGGTTTGGCAGCTGTTAGGTAGGTATGGGGTTTTTGGAGGATTTGGAGGTGGTGGGGTGAGGGGAAACTGCTTTTGTCTAATGCAAACTGTATGTAACATAACCCAGATGTTCTCAGGTGGGAATCCAGTCCACACTTTTCATGCAAGACTCAGGTGTCAGCTGCGGAGGCTTGACATTGTGTCACCTCCCATGCTTGCCATGCTGAGCTGAGCATTATTGCTGCTTACTGCATAGGATAGTCTGGGCTGAGATGGCAATGTAGATCTCCCTCGGAAGAGTGGTAAGTTCATCTCACTGTGTCCCGCCTCTTTGGGAAAGAAAGGAAAGAAGCAATCTGGAAAGGAGCCATTGCCATTTGTCCTCTGCAAACTGGCCAACCCATGACGTTCATTTATCTCACCCAACCTCATGCACAAATGCCTACTGAATTGGATACAGCAACAGTTTTACATCCTCATAAACAAGTCAGCTGGGCATTAGGCTCTGCTTAAGCAGCTACTCTGCTTTCCTAATTTGAGCTAGTCCATCAGCAGTCCTGTGCCAGTCCGTGCCAAGATGCCATTTCGCTGAGGTTAAAGTTACCTCCAGCACCACATCACTAGACCTATACAAGGCTGCTGAGATGCAGAAGAAGATGATTTGCCAAAAAAAAAAAAAGTATTCCAGCTGGACTTTCTGGAGGATTTGGGCAAGCTGCAATTAAAACAAAACAAAACAAAAAACCCCCAACAACCCAACCAAACAAAACCCCCACAAAAACCATTAGATGGTACAAAACAATGTCCAGCTGCCTTATCTGAAAGGCTGTGTTGACAGAGCAGGAGAGCAGTATCTCTTCATAGCTCTGTGCTTGTGAAGGCTTCTACTGACTAAGCACCACCTTAGAGACTTGATTAATACCTGCAGTCAGGAATGTTTTATATTTTCCTGTAAACATTTTTGACAAAATCCCAAAACTTTCTCTTCAACAATCTGTGAAGAGATTTCACTAGGAAGAAACTTTTTCCACTAAAAAGTTACTTTTGCTAAGCACTTGACTATCTTCAGGGTTTTCACCCCCATTTTAAGAACTGCAAACTGAAATACTTTAAACTATAATCAGATCAAATAAAAAGTGTTTGGTTTTGCTAACAGTTTTTGGGTTGTCAAAAGGAAACTGTCTTTTGTATGTGAAAAAACATATAAACACTGGATGAAAAAACCTGAACCTGAATATTCCCATGCAAGTTTTAGTTTTGATGAAAATATCTTATTTTGCTAGAAAACTCGAAAGTACGCCAACATGGTGCACACACTCATCAAGACACCCAATTTTACAGTTTGCTGGAGTGGGCTGTCCTCCCAAACAGCCACGGAACAATCTTTGAAGGTCTCTGAGAAGAGATTGCCTGGAAGTCCTAACAGACAAAAAGTGAGGGTCACTTTTCACAGGAGAGAAAGAGAGTAAAATTACACAGCAGAGAAAACTAATCCCTTATTGAAAAACTAGGGCAAAAAATCAGGCAATTATTTTGGTAGCTTGCAGGAGAGGCTGTCATAACCTAATGGAGTTACAGAGTGCTTTGAGAGAGAGAATGCACTTCTTCTAAAGTGTCTGATATTATGCTTCTCCTGCCCTGTCTGACAACCCAATGAAATATGCCTTCTTTGCAGATTCATTAATGGTTTGAGCCAAGACGTCAACCTCACCATTGACAGCAAACAGTTCATTGCTGTTCAGAAAAACTACAGCGCTTCTGAGTACTCGCTGCTAAAGAGGGACAAGTAAGTTTCCCTTGCTGTGCTGACAGTCCTTGCGGAGGCCTTTCCTTGGATACACTGGGGCTTTTCTCGGGCGAATAGCAAAATCTTCATTGCTATTGTCTTGGCATTTGGTTGTGGGGGCAGATGTTTGTAAAAAAGCAGAATTATCGGCTCTGCGCAGAGCAGGTGCTCCTGGCCACTCGTGTGTGTGTGCAGAAGCACCATGTGCTTAGTCTGCAAAGTGTCCAAGCCAAAGGAAAGCAAATCAGTATCTTTGTGTGTAATAACGCAGTTGAATAGGTTCAGCCTCCAAACAGTGTCTGGGATAGCTCCCTTCCTGTGGCTGTTATTGCTTTGGTAAGATCAAATCAGTAGGGACAAAGCTTGGAAACTTTATTCTCATGAAGTGGGTATAATGACATCCTAGTTTAGGTCACAATCTGAGTTTTCTCAGAGTCGGGTCAGGGGAATTTTGGAAACCCAAAAAGCCTTTTGATGAAGTTCTGATACAGCACTTAACTTTCTCTGAGCTTTTGTTCACATTGTGTGGGGGCCTGGAGGGAAGAGACTGGCCGTTCCTGGGCATCTGTCAGCGGAGTAAGGTGGGACATGGTGAAGTCCCCTCTGCCTTTTGATGCCTGCTCTATTTTGATACTTTCTCAGACCTAAGCTCTTAGGGTGCTCTCAAGGAAAGGCTAATTCATATTCCATGCTACAGAGCGTTGGTATGTGGGCTGGTAACACCGAGTAACATTACATGGCTTTGCAGGCTGGGCTTGTTAGACAGCGGCTCCATATGGCCTTGGTTTGGCAGCATTAGAGTTGGCTCTTGTAGGGTATTTCTGGCATTTGCAGTGTTTCAAAACAAGCTTCATGGCTTTTCTCTGCATAAGCTCCATCCAAAATATTTATTGCTGCAATTTAGTAGGATGCAGCAGCCATTGTGGCAATGCTGCTGAGCCTCTGTGGCATCTCACACATCCAAAATCAGAAGAACAAATATGAAGGCTAATTTGCTCTACAGAAGGGAAACAAAGTGGCTTGCGGCTACATATTTCTGATTTCCTGAGCCCAGCTAACTTGTCTGGCCCATAGTTCCTGAAGGAGTAGAGAAAAGTTTGGAAGGAAAATAAACCTGAGAGGAAAAAAAAAAAAAATTAATGCTGGGAAGAAGCAGAAACCATTTAACAATGTTAACAATAGCACAGGTCATTGGGTGAATCCAGTCAATGTAGGATGCAGCAGCCATTGTGGCAATGCTGCTGAGCCTCTGTGGCATCTCACACATCCAAAATCAGAAGAACAAATATGAAGGCTAATTTGCTCTACAGAAGGGAAACAAAGTGGCTTGCGGCTACATATTTCTGATTTCCTGAGCCCAGCTAACTTGTCTGGCCCATAGTTCCTGAAGGAGTAGAGAAAAGTTTGGAAGGAAAATAAACCTGAGAGAAAAAAAAAAAAAATTAATGCTGGGAAGAAGCAGAAACCATTTAACAATGTTAACAATAGCACAGGTCATTGGGTGAACTCCAGTCAATGCCTAAGTGTTTCTGGAAGGAAAAAATGGCAAGGAACTCTGGTGACTGTCTGACACAAACATTACTGCAACTTTACATCATACATCTTCCCTACCGCTATTGTAGGGGCATGTGTGATAGCTCTGCTCTGTGCTCTTTGTCTGTGGGACTAACTGGGAAATACTGTACTTCATCATTGTATCTAGATATAATAATGGAAAATGCATAACTGAAATGGGAGAATTCACCCTGGAGCTAGGGCTGCTCGACTTCGGCGCATCATACACCATTGTGATAACTAACGTAAGTGCCCCTGTGGTGGTGATCAAGCTCCTTCTGTTCTAGTCTCTGCCAGTGCTTTTGTTCTTGTGTTTGTTGCTTGCTTTCTCCACCCTGCAAGACCTGGGAAGTAGCCATCTGAAGGCAGTCCATTATACAAGGGCTAGTAAAAGGTTTTGGCATCTATATAAGCAAGGTAGGTGGGTATTCATTCCACCTTACACTGTGATCTTGTCAGATCTCATGGTTTAAACAAGAAGTAAGATCTTTTCCTTTATGGGAATCCTGCATGGAAAATAATCTGATCTATGGTTTGTGCCGGTCTCATGCCATCCTTGTTCAGTTAACATTGACCCAGCACACTGCAAAGAGCTATTACGGTCTGACAAGAGATGACTCTGCTTGTGGTCTTTTAAATACTGTACGTAGTGGTATCTCACACTTGAAAATCTCTGCAGAAACAGTCTGCTGTATCCTCGTATTTAACTTACTGATCTAAAGGCTGATCTTCCAAGCCTTGTGGATTATGTGTGGGGGGAAGAAGGACAAAGTGTTGAAGGAGGAGGTCAGTGAGATTGTGCATCTGTTTTCCCTACTCTCACTGTCTGTACAGCTCATTTGGAGCCTAGTGTAAAGTCAAGGCATGGTTTTTCTGAACAACCTAGCCCTGGTGGGTCGTGAGCACTGCTGAAACGGTGGATTCCTTTCCCTGCCTGCCAGCCTGTTAGGCATGCCGCTCCAACCCTGGTCCAGCTCGCAGAAGCCACAGAGATGAACGTGATCAGCTTAGTTCCCATTTTAACCTTTCCACTGCACAGGCACACAGACAAACCAGGTCTGACAGGACACACTGCTAAGCTGCCCTCTGAGACTTTGACTATTGTGTTGTGATGAGCAGAGCAAAGTGCTGTCAGCTACTCCCTGGCAGTAACATCTCCCTCTTGGGCAATTATTGTGAGCTGTTCATGTCTGCAGAGTCCAAATACGTAGGGGAAAAATATAGCTGCAAAGCACCTGGCATTTTTTTTTAACTCCAGTAGCTGGAGTGGGATGCACAGTCCTGGAGGGAACAGGTGGATGCTGCCATCTGTGAGTGAAGAGGTTTATATACATAAAACACATACACACTTGAACCAATGTTGGCCAGACCCTTCTTCCATGGCTGCAAGCCTCTTTCACCAGATGAGAAACCAAGTAGAGAAGTTGCATGAAGAATATTACACTAAGAATATTGCCCCAGAGCCTCTGGTAATGCAACTGAGTCAGGGCCAGTCGAGGTAGATGTGTCCCATGTTACTGTGGCCAAGGATTCTGGTTTGTGGCCCCATCTACAGAAGTCCCTGCTGTAGCCATGGCTGCTCGGGGGTGACTCTGTGCCTCAGCCCTTCTGGACCCTGTGCTAGTCCTTTAATCTTTTTGACCCTCTGTTTTTCCACCTCGCTCCCTGTGGTTTCCTCCTTCTGTAGAGAGCTACTTTCTTCAGACCAAGATAATTTTTAATTATTGCAGTGATTTGTACTGAGCCCTGCTCCTCTGCCAGGAGTGCTATATAGAAGAACCAAGAATGCAATATATTAGTCTGCTAATGTGGCTGAACTGTGATACTTAAATCATGGGGATGCTGGCTTCTGCCCAGCCTTCCTCAGTGTACAGTTATAGTGTGGTGCTTGTGACATTTCTTTATGGGCTAAAGAGAAATGCACAGCTTTCCTCTCACCTCTTTTAGCTTGCTAAAATACAGCCTCTTGATTTGCCTCCCTGCATGGTGATTAAGTACATCTTATAAACATCCCTTGTATTTTCCCAAGCACTCTCCTTAAACACGGGGGTTTCTGCCTGAAGTAATTTCAGCCTAGTGTTTTCCTGACTAAATCTCTCTCTGCCTCTGAGCCTCTGTGCATTGGAGGCAGTATTAATTACACCTGGGAAAGCAAACAGAAGGAATGAGGAACACAGCTACCGTAACTATCTGAATACATCTGATACGGGGCAGTTTCTGCTACTCTTGGTGTTCCTGAAGTGGATTTATTTGGGTGTCACCATTATAGTAGGGGAGTTTTACAGTACCCATGGCATGGCAGCAGTGGACACATGGCTGCAATGATCATTTATCCTCTCATCCTCTTCTGGTCCTGGGGACAGCAGCAGGTCACAGGCTCTGCACAAGTACCACACAGGCTCTTCCCAACCCGACTAAAGAAGAGGACTTGTTGGTTTGCAATAACTCATGTAAGTCTTGCAGTGCATGAATAAGCTGGGATGCTTCCATCCTGCCCCCTCTGTCCTGTGTAGTAGGAGTCAGCCCTTTCCCAACAGGCTTGGAAATGGCAGGGGTCAGACCCAGCATTTTGCTTCCAGGGCAGAGCTTTTCTTCCACCTTTACTTAAAACTTCATTTTGGTAAAGTTGCTGTTGGAGTCCAGGCTAAGAAGGATCTGATCTTTGAGCAGCTGATCAATGTGCCTTTATTTTTTTGCTAGGTTTCTGGAGGTACTGTGAAGACATGGAAGTCAGAAGACATCAAAGCCAACAATGTCCATATGGCTTGGCAGTTACCACAATACTTATTAATATCTGCTGGGGAGGTGATGTTCTCCATTACAGGTCTGGCCTTCTCCTATTCTCAGGTACTCTACTTAAAGATTAGACTTTAGATAGGCTTACAGTTAGGCTTCAGGATTTATCCTGCATCTGCCATTGACTTGTAATGCATCCTTTGGCATGATGCTTACTGACAATGTTATCTGTGGTTCAGCTAAAAATGGGAGTATAACACAGCTTGCTGGGTGCCCTCAAGCTAAATTAATTCATACTCTGAAGATACCTGTTCTCATTTATACTCGGGAATCTCCTTATCTGGTGAAGCTGAAAACATAGAACAGAACTGGAAAGAAGTTTATTTTAATGTGAAAGCTCTGAATACTGTCATATCAGTTTTTTTATCCTAGTGAAATATTTTGTGGTACCTATTTTCCAGTGATAAAAAGGCAAAGGTATCTCAAGGTGGCATGGGGGTTTGGAACCTGCTTTAAGCTGGGAGACTGAAGGGGTTTAAGCCTACATGAGTTTGTAAGAAGGGAGCAAAGGGTAAGGAATGTGCAAGGGATGATTTGATTGTTGTCTGGGGAGAAGGTTTATGAGAAGAGAGGACTGAGACCTTACAAGATTAAAAAGCTGAATCTACTAAAATTTATCCTTGGAGTAAAGTGCAGCTGTTTATTAATGAGAGAAATTAATACAGTGGGATGATCTGTCATGGGATGTGGAAAATTTGTCATCAGCAGGAAGTTTAACATCAAGATCCAGTCCCTTTTCCAAAGGTGCACAGCTGCATGGCACCAGACTCCAAGCTGCAGGGCCTGTTGTGTGGTTCCCTGAAGTTCTTGACTGTACAATTTCAAGTGATGCAGGTTGGGGGTGATCAGGATCCAACTCTGCAACAACAGCATCTCCTCTTTCTTCATGTGTCCTCCTGGAGGATTTTTGAAAGCTCCTTGTATGCAACTGTTGAAATTAACCACAGAGGAGACTCTGCGGGGAGGAAATCCCACCATCTCCTCCTAGGATGAGCCCAGTGACACCTACACTGGGCAGGACATTGCAGGGTGAACCAGGGCATAAGGGCACAGCGTGATACCCACTGACCAGGCCCTTCTCCTCTTTTTAGTCTCCGGCCAGCATGAAGTCGGTGCTGCAGGCAGGCTGGCTGCTCACAGTGGCTGTTGGGAATACCCTTGTGCTCGTTGTTGCACAGGCTGCACCAATGGCACAGGTATGGTTCGACTTTTAAAACAGAGGTAATGCTTTAAAACGGGCCTGGGTGGTGCTTCTGGATGTCTGTGTCCTGGAGGCACAGCTTTTCTGAACAGCCCCAGGCTCCTGCAATGGAGTGATGGCAGCCTGCACCCAGCTGCCTCGCAGCCAGGGTCCTGCATTGTCCTCAGCAGTGTTCCCCTTGGGAGCAATGGCTCTCCCTAAGCCTCCCAGTGGCAGTAAATAAGTGACCTGCACTGCAGTAACATTGCTGGAGCTCAGCTCTAGGCAAGCAGGCTGTATTTGGGCCTGGAGCTTGGACATGATGCCAGCCATGCATTGCAGTTGCTTGCCGAAAGCAGCTTGCCTTCAGCCAGCCAGCCCAGTGGGCAGGCAGCCTCCTCAGGCGCCTAGTTTGGGGCTTCTTCAGGGCCAGCTGCCTGTGGCACCCCTGAGATGTCGAGATTACATGGGGAAATTGTGGTGCAGAGCTTGTTTAATATAGGCTATCAGACTTCTGGGATGGTGGCATGAAAGTGTGAAATGGGGGTCATTTCTGGCTAACATGAAACTGCATCTCCCAAAGGCATCTTGTGGGCAAAAAGCCCAGGCAGGTATGTTCCAGTCAGGACAGGTTTATAAAAAAAGATGTAATGAAACTAGCCCAAACTAACTGGTTTGTTTCAAGGTATAGCACATATTCATAAATACATTATTTGTACATCAGTTTATCAGAAAACAGGATGAGAAAGTTTCTATATTGTGAGCAATCTTGGAAGCTAAAGAGTAATTTTCACCCAGCTCTTTAAAAAGCACTTGGAAGTGCAGAGAAATCCTCTATACAGAGTGTGGGGTCCCCTGACCTGCTGTTCTTTTTTCTTTCCTAGTGGGCTGAATTTGTCTTGTTCACTGTTCTCCTCTTTGCTGTGTGCATTATTTTCTCCATCATGGGATATTTCTATGTCAGTGTGGATCCAAAGGACCTAGAAGAAAAGGAAGAGAAGAGAGAGACCTCAAGCGGAGGGAACATGATTAGTCTTGTTACTCAGAAAACAAAGCTCTAACACATGGGTTGGGATTTTTTTTTTTTAAACACCATAGATGGGAGGGTAAAAGACGGTGGGGACAATGTTATTTTATTTTATAGCGTTGCAGTCTTTATTACTCAAAATGTAGCCACCTTCTAAATGGGACCAAATAGCCCTCTATAAAAGCAATGGGGGTCCTGAAATCAGAGCAAAACTCCCTGGGAAAGCTCCTCTGGTATTAAAAGCCCTTATAAGTAAATACAGTGTAATTTAAAACCTGCCCATCTTTTTAAGCATGGAATGCTTTCCTATGATTTTGTTTTAAACATATATTTAGGGCAGCAGGGAGGAAAGTTGGAAGGAATGCCATATGGCAGCAAAATTTGGAGATGTTGGGAGAAAAGAATGAAAACCCAGTATAGGAATTAGGGAAGAATAGATGTTACCGACAGAATTTTTAATGCTATCATGAAGGACTGGAAGTGTTACACACAATCCCAGAGGATTTCATCATGTAACTCTCCTTATGAGTATTTCACCCCATTATTGCATGTTATGAACGGTCCTGATTTATGACTTTTACCTCCAGGCTCAGAAGTAATAACAGGGAATTAAATTCTGCAGGCTAAAATATTCCCAAAACACTACTGAAGAAGATATGCGTGCTACCATCTCTCTGATACCCATTTTTCCTAGAAGTTTTTAGCAACTGATGGTGATCTTTGATTAGACATAATTAGGGAATTGGTTTATGCTTTCTTATTTCAGAAATCCAGACAGTTATTTGCCATCTTCCTATATATTAAGCCTTTATTGGGCATTTCCTTTTACAATACCTGCCACTGCATGTTAGGATGTGGCTGATTTCTTATCTCATGCTTCAGTTATTCCCCATGGGGAGACACATTACAGCAGTTTCTATAAAATTCCAGGCATCCTGCAGTGAGTTAAACAAGGGTGCACTTTATCATTTTTTTTCAGTCTGCAGGAAGAGACCATGGCATAGTAGATTTTTATTTTTGTGTGTGTGTTTTTGTGTGTGTCTACCAGACTTTGGCTATAGCTATTTTATCAGAATTGTGCTATAATTGTGTGATTTTTCCTTGCTTGCATGAAGCTGTGGTTTCATGTTCTGCATAGAAGTAATTCAACCATTGCTGATCTAGTAAAACTCCTGAGAGAGAGTCCCTGCCTCCCCCTGTCGCTCCAAGGCTGCAGCTGTAACTGGTATGGCCTAATTTATGAGAAGGTTTGTCAGTAGGATCTTCAGGTTCACAGAGAATGGATTTTAAATGATGCTTTCCTCTTTTGTCTTGGCATTAGCCACAGGTGGTCGCTGATGCTCTGATTCAGGAGATCATGAAATACATGTTTAATTTCATTCCTGTCCAGGACAATGCTAGGGAATATGCTTAACACCTCTGCTCCTTTAACGTGCTGCCTTATGTGTAAGTGTCGTCTTGAGTAAGACTGAGAAAAACCCACTTTTTGGCTTATAACTGGAAGACTCACAGCCTCAGATTGTTTCCTTTGTTTCCTGTCCTAAATGGTCGTGAACTTCCACCGCTAGTTCTGCATAAACTCCTGCCTGCTGTGAAATAGCATCTGGGTCTTGTGCCAGAGGGGGACCGTGGTCTCAGATAAATGACAACAGGCTGCGGGTGTGCACACAGAAACACTTAATGTGGTTCAGTCGATGCAGAGCCATTTATTAAGCTGTGGTGGCTGGATCTGGGCCGCTGAACCCAGCGACGCAGCGGGGAATGAAGGGCATTGAAAGCCATCTATTAGGTCATCTGACCCGCTCCTCAGAAGCCAAGTGAGGATTATTCTCTCTGCTCCTTTCTGGTATTGTTCTCCTGCTGTGATTCTTTGTGTGGGTTCTTTCTCCTCCAGGCATTGTTGTCTTCCTAATCCTGTTTTATGACACACCGCGAATCAGCTCAGAGGCTGCTGAATCATTCTGCTATGATGCTTGTTTGACCGGCTTCCAATTTGATGCACTAATAGAAAGCATTGCTTCCTCCCCCCTGCAAACAAAACAAAAATCCCTGAACTGAAGGAATGGACAGGCTCCAGTAACACTGAACAGACACAATTTGGAATTACTGGAGCATTTAATTTTTTATAAGCCTTGAATTTGGAAGTATGTTGGGGTTTGAGGGCATATGTGGTGAAGAGACAATTGAAAATTATTGGAGCACTTTCCTTGGGAAGCACTTGGTACATCACAGCTCAAAGTGGCATGAGAGAAAGCAAGGTGTCCAGAGGACATGATCTTTAAGACTACATATGCTCAAGAACCTCTTGATTTTTTACATTTTATTTCCTTACTGGCGGCACTACCAGAAGCTGTCACACACTCTGAGCTTAATTTAAAGGAATCATTCCAAACTCATAAAAGATACATTTCGGATGTCATCTGTATCTGCTTTTTAGACTCCTGATGCCAAATTGCCCCTTTCCAAACATCTCCATGTTCCAAACTATCATCGTAATGCTGGGGGAAGAAAAACTGCAGTTCACAGTTGGGAAGGTTATGAACAGGAAGGCGATGATGATAAGGTGCTAACATGGGGCTGGGGGCTGCTCCTGCAGCCCCTCTGGGGAATCGCTTGCCCCGGAGAGCATAAGGCTCTGTTCACATTTCTCTTCCAGCTGACACTTCTACTTCTTCCCACCGGCTCATTGTCCCCTGTTGGAAGCTTTGTCCCCCTCTGATCTGCCTGCCTGGTTGCTGGTGTGATCCTTCCCCACCGTTTCAGCTGCAGTCGTAAAGCTTTGCTAATTGGACCCATTTATTCGAAATGCACCAGCAGTTTGGAGGGATTTCCACTGGGCGTGCTGACAAGCAGCCAGGAGCAGGCTGGGGGCCGTATGAAGAGCTGTCCCTGCTGTAGCTGGAGAAAGTGGCAGAATAGCACATTCAGCTATTCTCCAGCACTTGTCCAATTTTAGAGCCACAACTCCATCTTTGGAGCCTGTCATCACTTTCAAATGGACTCAAGACTGGGTCAAAGATTTAGGACCTGACTCTGTGGAGTAATTGAGGTATCTTGGTTTTTCTTCCATATGGTCAGCTCATAGATGGGGCAATGCACAGCTCTTAACACCCAATTTTAGAACAATATTCCTTATTCTTCCTGATTCTTTGATTTAGGATCAGAGGGAGAAGCCAAAATAGTGACAGTATATGTAAAGCTGTGTGAGCCTCTATGGAGAAATCACAGCCGGCTGCCTGTCCAGCTTTGCCTGTCACTGAAGGAAGTCTCAGGTGTTGGTGGAGTTTGCCCTGCAGCAGTTTAGGGAAAGCTCACACCAGCTGTTTTGGAGGCTGACCTATGGAAATGATCTCCAGCTAAGGGACAGTAATGAGCTGGTGGGGTTCTGTAGGTATGTTGCTGTACAAGCCTTCATGGAGATTGCAGGTGTTACGCTTCGCTGTGGAAGCGTGTGTATTTATCTGAAGATTCTTCTCAAGACTGCTTTCTGATAAAGTTTTTTTTGTGCAGCAAATTTCCCTTCAGATGCACTGGCTGTTATTTAACACAGTGTTATTTCCAGCTTTACATGAGATAAGTGTAAAAATGAGATTTCAAACTCAGCAAAACAAATTCTTGGCTGTGGGTCCCTTAAATTTACCTCTTCTTTCTGAGGCAGTTGGTAGCAAGGTGCTCTGTGCAGCTCAAGGGGCTTGCATCTCTCTTTTCTTCTCTCTCCCTTTCCTCACAGCCCTGCAATTCCAGAAGATGAGCTTTCAGAGGATTCCAGAAGATGACCCCTGGGGGGCGGGGGGCTGCATGGGACTGGCTCGGATGCAGCTGGTGTGTGCTGTCAGCACTGGCTGGGAGGCAGGAGCCTGGCCAGGCACAGGATGGTTCCCTTCTGGAGACCCAAATGGGGCTGGGCAAGGTAGCCTGGGGCAGGGCTTGCCCTGGTGGAAGACATGGTTTTTCTGAGCAGTGATCTGGATGTGAGTTTTACTGTGAAAGTGAAATGTGAGTGAGTGAAGGGAAAAGTTTTCACTGGCCTTGGCTTTGGCCTGAGGCACTGTGCGAGGAGGCTGGAGACTGACAGGCAGGGAGGAAAGAAAGGGCTATTTGGTCAGGGTCTTCCCAACTCTTCAATGAACAGCTGAAATTCCTTGCATCGAATTAATTGGAGAGAAAATGAGATGGGAGAAGTGGAAAGCTCAGATGATTAAATAGTGGATGTCTTCAGACCTTTCAGAAAAGCGCTATCCTAACCGGTGGTGAGGGGCCATCGGGGGAGTTAGTTACCCACGGCTTGAGTATTACTCTGCAAAACCACCATACAGACCTGCATCGGTGGGTCTGCAGTGACTGGAGGAGGTGGCAGCTGTGCTCCTGGTGATGCCCCCACCATCCATGGCAGCCACCACCTTGGCTTCCCCTTGGGACAGAAAAAGCAGCTGAAGGTCTATTACAGATGGGAGTAGCATGGAAAGGAGAGCTACAGTTAGGGATGGTTAATGGGCAGTTTTAGCCACGGTCACACACACAGGAATAGTCTCCTCTTCTCTCTGTTGAGTTTCTTTGCCTAGCTACAGGAAATTTTCTAGCACCAACAGCTTAAACCTGGGAGTTCAACTCCCTGGCAAATACCACTGAATTTTGAATGGTACCAGACTCTGCATTTCATTAGCACTCCATTTGTTATTGTGATATAATTTTAAAACAGCATTTAAGATATGTTTCTGGTCCCAGATGTTGACAGATCTGGCCAGGGTTTTGCATGTTGATAGCTGGATTTACCCTAGTCTTTCATGTTAGCATGTGCGATAAACCTGTTGTGTACCAGTAGATGTTGTGGGGCCCTTGGATTTTTCCCAGCAATTCAGAAAAAAAGCAAAATCCCCAGTGAAGCTGGCTAAGCATGAACTGTGGTGTTGCTTCGTTGTTGGAGTTGCCCATGTGCTTTGTAATACGGGGACCCTCATTCATCTCTTGTAATGTGCTTCCCGGAAAGACAAAAATGGGGGATGCTACTAAACACTTTGCTCATGCCACGTTACA